AAATATATTCGTATGATACCTTTAATCATTTATATTGCACACAATTGCAATCTATCCTGAAAATAAGTTTTTTTAATATAGTCTAATGTCATATAGTCTAATGTAAATTTATTAGATTTCAATCTCTATTTTATTGAAATATTTAAATTTTATTTTCTATTTTGTTCTAACTTTAAATTTGTTGTACCAAACCAAACGTGACAAACAAATTTAAAGTTTTAAGTCTCGTTTAAAGCCAGAATAACGTTGATACAACCGGGCCTTAGTACATCAGTAAGGTACCTAGATAGCAGGACATCTTAATGACGTATTATTGATGATTTTAGCCGTCATTAAGACGTTATTTGACGCCACTCTGCTACCTGGGATATTTTACTCACGTCACTGTGAGAGTTAAAATAACTTCTTATTGACTTTACTAATGACGTCCATAGTCTGTGACTTACACTGAGAAAACAATTTTCTTCATTTTAGTAAATGGAGTCACACAGTTGTATATGCAAAACTAATATTTACTAAAATGCAGAACATTTTTTTCTCAGTATAGGACTGTCAAAAATACGTTATTTACGTTAACTTTAAGAATAAATGACATAAAATTCGATATAAGGGTCACGTCATGACGGCTGTCTGCTATACCTGTGGAACTCTTCGCGTATTACGCGATATCTGCAAAAATATTTGCGAAAGTTTGAAAACAAGACCATACAATATTCTCAGAATGCATTCATATGTTGTTTGTCGATATTTCTGAATAATTTATCATCTTCGTTATATGGCAGAATAAAATTGATATTGATGGTATTGATAATAATTCGCGAAAGAATAACATCCTTATTTATTTCGTGAAATAAGTATTTCAAGCCAAACTGATTTTTTATCAGTAATATTCACAAATTGAGATAGAATTGTTTGTCAACGATTTATCATAAAATTATCACTATCGCGACACTTAAAAATCGATAAGAGAGTTAAAAGTGATACATCTATGAATAAACTGCACGATACGTATAGTAATTTAGATAAGGATTAAATCTTTCTTTTTTTAATACGCTCACTAATTGCACATAAATTTATGACTCAATTTATCTTAGAGCGCAATTATGCAGCTCGGCATTTGATAAAAACAAACGGAGCAACATTACCTCGGCAGCGAAGCTGCGCTTTCGTGCGTCTTCTCTCAATAATACGATAATTACGATAAAAATTCCATAAAGCGGTGTTAATCGGATCGCCAAGCTGCTGCAGAAGCTGCCCGCCGGCGATTGTGGCGAATCGGGAAAACGGCCAAAGGATACCGAGTACTTTGAGAAGACACCGTGCTCATCGTCACGGGGACATCGTAACCACTTCTACGTAACGATTCCGTTTATTAATACCGAATTACACAGATCCTTCGGAGGAATTAGAGACGAAGGCGCCGCGAAGTCTGTGTTTCTCCGGTTTCTCGTCTCCCGTTGACGCGCGCACAGTTCGCTATTATAGTGATCATCTTTGTTCGTTGTTAATTTTTTTATGACATTAAAAGAGAAAAACTTATTCCATTAAAAAAAACACAAGTGGATAAAGTTAGACGGTGAACTGAGACCGAAGTCATAATAAAAAGTAAGTAAAATTGATTTTTATTTTATTATTGATATATATTTGTGATTGATTATATTTATTTTATTAATAATACTATAAACCTCGAGAAAAAAAAAGTTTCGAGATGTTTTCCTCTTTTATTGATAGTTTTACAAAATAAATTCTGTAATTATTAAGATCGAACTAAAAATTATGAATATTATGTCTGCGAAAAGACACAGTTTTTATGGCATTTTCATTCGTCATCTAATGGCAAACGTAGTAATAACAGAATAATTCCATTTCCAAGAATAACAAATCGGAAAGAAATGAGGAGGCGATAAACAGTCTCGTTTGATGTAAGTATCCGAGCAACTGGCAAAGTTATGCCTTTCATCCAATGGATCGTTACGTGACTCTTATACATACCTACAGGTGAACGTGAATCGCTTTGCGTTTTCAATGATGCGTTTTATCGCGACGCTTTATCGGGGCGGTGTGTTGCACCGAAGGCTGTGTTCGAAAACTTCACTCGGGTGCACACATCAGCGTCGTTCTGTCCTTGTTCGACTTTCAGTAAATAACAAAGATAGAATGACGCGGTGTGCACTGTGCACCCGAGTAAAGTTTTCGAACGCAAGCCGAAATCGTGACATAATTTTTATACGTTCATATTAAATTGCCCGCGGCACGGCGTTCTCAATTAATCACACGTGCGTTTTATCGCTTTGTTGATATGATTGATGTGTGTTTATCAAATTAATCGACATATACGGCGATTTTGCTATTTATGATCGCGCCTTTATTTACGACTGCAATTGTGATTCATGCGTATTTTATGCATCGGGGCCTTGAAACGTTAATACGTTAAAAATCCTATCGTAGCCCATATAGCGCGCCAGAGATGGCCGCTTATCTTAATTAATCTGGCTGGCTATTGGGAGAGATGCACGAAATACGGCCACATAACTTGTCAAATCAACGTGACGGCCGTGAAGAAACGAGTTATATATTACGCGAGCGTAATTTTATTGCAATATAATCAAACCGATTATTTCAAATATAATGTCGCCTGAGTGCGATTGCGTGCTATAAACTTCCAATCCCTGAATTGTTCTTGTTAATGAAGAAAAAAGAGAAATAACGTGTAATAATACAATAACGACAAATAGGATTCGTGTGAAAACGTTTCGACGATCCGCGTTTCTATATATTGATGTCGTTTGGCATTCTTTATTTTTATCTTTATCTCGTTTCTTTATATAACATAACGCTGCTATAAAATGTAATCCTATTATAAAATTCTAAAATAACTGTACATTTGTGCATATGAGCGCAGTTTCTTCACGATTACAGTGCAGCTTTGATGCGTCGTTTATCGTATGTGCTATTATACCTGTCGGTGTATACATTTGTTCATACTACTTAATATTCCGAGATGGGACGGAGAGATGCAGGCGTATAATCGCCCGAAAATGGATTTATTTCTCGCGTTATATTAACATCCGACAAGTCTCGTTTGTGCTTTTTGACGAGATCGAAGCACACGAGCGAGCGTTAATTATCTTTAATCGATTGATCGGATTCCCGCGGTTGTTACGCAATTGTTACGCGGATCGCACGGTTGTTACGCGGAGATCCTTTTCGAGGACAGCGAAGAGAGAAATCCGAGTTAGCAATAAAGATATAACTACAATGTTAATAGATATCGCGGTCCATATCATAAAAGATCGCGACGAGTCTCGCGTCCCGTTGCGTATACGCTTATAAAATTCTTGGAAAATGTTTATACGCCGTTTGCAGGATGGTGGTAAAAATTAAAAAGAAGGGAAAAGAGAAAACGCGGACCGCTTTTCCCCCTTTGGAAGCGAGCTCGCGCAGGATTTTCTTGTATCGCCGTGAATGGAATCGCGGTTTATACGTACGCAGATTGTGAAATCAACGTTCGTTTGTGCGGTAGAAATCCAGCGTAAGCAACGGTGATTCTCGTCAGAGAGATTACGATTCTTAAGAATAACCTTTTACGCTCCGCGGATCGCATCGATATCTCGTATACAGTATTTTGTGTTGCGTGTGCGTGGGTGTGCTGCGCATCACTCGCGGCATCGTAATTGCACCGAATGCACATTCACGGTCGTCACGCATATGTCTTCGGCAATAAAGTATATAGTTTGTCACAAACAAATACATGATCTATCATAATCTTTTCCTTCGATTACTACGATTAAATCCCGGCGATGCGATCCCGGCGTCAGTTCGACCCCGATAAGTAAAGGGTATCGCAATTTTGTGATAACAGATTCGAAAATAATCGTATTTTTCGATATTTCCTTTGAGAAAGGAAAAATTGTATACAAAGTTACGAAGATATATTAGAGAAGGTTAAAATAAATCTTTATTTTTTTCTGGTACTTTGTAAGATATCATTTTATCTTTCTTACTTTGTAAAAATATTTATATTTTTATGTTATAAAATATTATTAAAAATTATCTTCTTATCTCATATAGTGGTTTAACAATAATTATACATCTATGCGTGCGTGACGATTTGAGCGTATCAAGGAAACACTTTCACAAATACCGAAGCTTTAGAATACGGAAAAAAGAAAACGAGACTTTTTGCGACGAGATGAAAAATCTCCCTTTATTTCGTAAAAGAACCGAATAATGAAACCACTGTAATTTTTGGCTGCACGCATTTGTTGCATTTTACCCGTAAAAACCACCGCAGAAATGTCAAAGTCGAAACCGTAAATTTCAACCTGGGTTGCACGACAATAGGGAAATATTCCATGACGCTGAAGTATCTAATTTTTTTTTGCGAGAGATAAATAAAAAGGGGCGAGCCCTTCGGGCTATCGATGGAACCGCTTTCGAAGGAAACCCGTCGCGACTGTAACCACGGTCACCTTTCACTCTACGACAATGAAAATCCCCCTTGTACTCTTGTAAGGACGTTATTTACGAGCTGTTTGTACCTGAAGCATGCACGTCCGCCCTCGTAGCTGCAACAATCACGTCTCTATCTCTCAGTCGCGACTTTTCATTTCAGTTTTGCACGAATGAAATTAAACCCCCCCTCCTCTCTCTCTCTCTTTCACTATCCTGTCATACCTTTTGGGTGGAGACTGCGGGTGATGAGGGTGACGTAAAAGGATACGGTGCCACGATACGCACCCTCGGACGAGCAGGAGGACGAGCAGAGGAGGAACGCGTATGTCCATCGGCGACGGTGGTGGTGGATGCGTGGCGCCCACCACGAGAGAGCCGATCCGCTCTTGCTCTCTCATTGCGAGCTCCACGAAGAACGGGGGGATAGGAGAGAGTAGGGGATGGGAAAGACCGGCGAGGGGGATGAGAGAGCGAGAGAGAGAGAGAGAACGAGCCCGCGGTATAAATGTAGCCCGCGCGAGTACCACCAATCATTCGCCCTCTGACCTCGAAACTCACAGAGCTCTTTCTGGTCTCTCTCCTCTCTGGCTGTCTCGCGGTACCGAAACGTACCCCCTGCGTACCAACTACTACCACGCCGCGAGGATCATCCCCGCTCCCACGGTCCACCCGATCGCCCGGCAATCAGCCGTCACCCGTGACGAGATCCGCGACTCGCGAAGAAAAAGAAGAGGAAGATTAAGGCGGGACCCCGAAGACAAACGGGACCAGTGCTACCGTGGTTACACAGCGAGAGACGCAGCAGAGCGCAAGTTCCCCTCGTCAGCAAGATGACGATTGTGAGTATCTAATAAATAATCAATTCAAATTAATTAAATCATCAATTTATGTTTGCTCCGCGAATAGAGCACGCTTTCTCTCTCCTTGTCGCTCATTTCTTCTTTTTCTTTTTTTTAATCGCCTCTTTCGTTCTGCCTTTTTTCCCCAATCAAAATCCATTCCGAAAAGTTTTGTAATACGTGTTTAATCGCAAACGATATCGATTTCTTTTTCTTTTCTTTTAATGAAGCGGCATAACAATGCGAGATAGAATTTGTGGCTCGCGATCGTGGCAACGAGAGTAGTTTTTAATTACCGGAATCGGTAATTAAAGAGTAAATGTCTCGAAGACAAATGGAGAAAAGATTTTCGACGACGCGAAGAGGCGACACGTTTCTTGCGCTCATCATTTTTTTCTTTTTCGAGAATCCGGATGACGTTCTGTTTTAAATTTAACCGACAAGAATACGAGGCAATTTTAAACATCCGCGTCTTCAATAACGTCGAGTTGTAAAAGTCAGTATCAGTGCTAAAAAGCTCGGTGGAAAGTTCGGAGAGCAGTTTCGTTTATGGAAAACGATTAGTCGTCGTCGTCGATCGCGTTGCGGACCGGACGCGGGATATACGATCGGGACGCGCGTACACGAGTTTTTAGTTTCGCATTCGCAGCGAGGAAGCAATCGAAACCGAAGGGCGGAAAAGTGTATCTCGTTTCGCTAATGCATCGCGATGAGTCGTAACGTACATTCCGCGGAGATGACCCCGCGAAATTTCCGAATTACTGTCGCCTGATGGTGAGTAGATCGATGGCATTTCGAATTATTTTCACGGCGAGAGAGAAAGAGAGAAAGAGATAGGGTATTTCCTCACAAGAGTATACATTTCCTAACAAGTAAAAAGTATCGTATATGCGAGCTTTTTTTAGGCTGACAATGAGATAAAATTCCCGCGATGACCCGCAAGGTTCCTGTTTCATCTATTCACGTTCGCATCCCACGGAGTACGTAGAAATATTTCGCGCAACTTTCGACACTTGAGATTTACAAATAATAAATACATTTGACAGAAATACGCACGGCGTTTCTCAGATTGAAGCAGATCTGCCCTTTACTCGCTCGGATAATTCTTCGCGTTGCATTCGCGATCAAAAGGGCTCATATTAAAACGGTTCTGTCACGGAGACATTTTTGGGAATTGAGTCACGTCAAAGGGAAACTCCGACGTAAAACGGATGTTGATTGGGGGAGACTTCTGACAATATGCATCGCGTTCGCAGCAACAGTTTGTCGAATAGTCTACGAGCTTGACATATTATCGTCGCTGTAGCAATGTGTCCTAGTACACGAAATGTCACGGGCCATATTGTGTCGCAAACTTGTTAAACCGGATAAAAAATGACGAATTATTGCTCAATCAGAAAATATGGTACATTTTAGAAAAAAATAACACTTTGAACGACACTTTGAACGATACTTCGTACCACATAAAATAATATAATAAATGCGTTATTTAATTTTTGAGGAATATTATTTAAAATTATATATCGATAATTAATTAAATTGATAAAATTATATAAATTTAATCGTAATAACAAAATTTTACGAGGTTATGAACAATTTTTAGTTAGATTAATTACGATATTGTGGAGAAATAATTACACTGAAAAAAAAATTTAGATCCAAGAAAATATTTATTTAGATAGTGGCAATGACTTATTTACTTAATATAATCACATATTTATTTAGAATTAGATATCTTTACTTAAATTATGTGATTATATTAAGTAAATAAGTCATTGGCACTATCTAAATAAATATTTTCTTGGATCTAAATATTTTTTTTTTTTTCAGTATATTCACACTTTCCGAGCATTTTGCAAGTAGATATTTATTTTCGTCGTAAAAATCTCAGAGTTTTGTGTTTCTTGGTCACATATCAGAGCCGCGAGTCACTTTGGATTCACCATGCGTGTATTGTCGAGCGGAACTAACGAACCGCATACGCGTATCAAAGGGCAAATGTAAGCGTTGCGGATGCTGGAGACATTACGTCTGGTCCGAGTAGTCGCCAGAGAATGTATAAAGTTTCCTTATTCGCTGCCAGTTAGACGCATATGTATACGGCGACCGTGAACGAAACGGCGCGGCTTCGTGATTTTATGACGAGTGTTTTCGTTAACGTTAAACTTCCGACGATACTCCATCTCGCCGGTTAAGCGTTTCTTCTAGGATAATAATTTCTTAAGCGTCTCCACGTTAATCTGGATTGGAATATTAGTGAATATTAGTGGAATATTATTATTAATGTTATCCTAGAAGATTATTATTAATATTAATATTTATACTTTTATACTTATTATTAATATTAATATTCTACGATTCCGGGATTTGACCCTTAAGAAATTATTATCCTAGAAAGAAAACACTTAACTGACGTGAGGGAGTACCATCCCTACCGCGCGTGTTATTATCGATAGAGCTAAGAGCAGTTAAACACTGAGCTAAATTAAAACAATAAAGCGTATAACGATGTAGACGAGATAAACGAAAATGGATAGAGACTTTTACGATTGAGCATCAAGTAATAATACTTGACGTTCCATCCCCGGCCGGGACGGAAACAAAGAACTCGAGAGATTATTTAGAAAAACATCCCCGCGGCGTTTTGGCTGACCGACTTTCAAGAGAAAACAATTTCGAATCGAAGCGAGCAAAAGCAAAAATCATCCCCTCTCGTGATATTCCCGCCTGCACAAAGTTGGACGATGATCTACGAAAATCGCCGAAGGACGATGGACTCACCGGGCAAACCCTTTATCGCGGCGGAGCGAAACGAGGCCGGAGGACAGAAAAAGGGAGATATAAATCGCACGGTAATTAATGAATGAAGGAACCGGAAGGAACGGAAACCCGTCACCACGCGATTTCGCTCGCGTCGCGATGATAAGACGGGGGAAAAACCGAATCGACGTATGGCTCGGTGACGATCAGCGATGATCGGTAAAATAGCGGCGGTGAAGCCGGGC